GTAAGGTATCTTGTCGTTTATTGTTCCAACTGAAAAGGAATTACAATACATAAAATTGAATTAAAACAAAGTTTCAGTTTTACCTATTTGCGTATAGACAATTGGTTATGTCTGTCTATACATTGAATATATATACACATAATAAAATATTGTAACAATGTTAAGTAAGTCACTTTTTTACTCCAATGGAAACAATCATTATTTATAAGTTATTGTATATCGTCACTGTGCAGCTCCTTCTTACAGTTGCTTTTCCTTCTAAGATTATCATACTTTAAACAAGGTCTTATCCCATCAATGACTACGCACAAAAAATACTGCGTCTGTTATAGAAAGGTATTTCTTTAATATAAGATGAAAGTTATTTCATGCTGAGGCTTAATAATTGGCTACACGACTTAGCCAGCTTCAACATGCGTCGAAAAGAAAAACACAAATAAGAACCCTCGCAGAACAAAGACGTCTTTCCAGCATGACGTTATGGCGACCAAGACTGGGCCTCATAGAATGTGGATACCGCGGGAGCACGTAGAAGGTCAAATACGTTCTGAATGGTTGGCTCAAATTTCCTTTTACCCTGCAAAGTTCGAGAGAGAGAGAGAGAGAGAGAGAGAGAGAGAGAGAGAGAGAGAGACTCGTCCAGTTGTAGGGCTTCAATTCTCTCTTGGGGAAGACAATAATTATGTGTCACGACGCGATGGACTCCTTCCTTCGTCAATTTGTAAGAATATGGGATTATTGGTATATTCAGAAAGCTTTTTTTCCCTCTAGATATTGCTTTCGATGAAAAAAAGTATCCTTTCAGATGAATAAAAGTCGAGATATAATTTGTCATCGAATTACGTGGGAGTCGCCTGGTATCAGAGTTAAAATTAGCGAGAAAATTGTTGCCAAAAATTGCTGACTTTCAATGCTGCAGTGTTCTTGTAACTGCAAGCATTGAATTTGTTTTGGCTCTAGATCAACTCCCTCCCCCCCCCCCCCCAATTAAAATTCAAGCAGGAACGTGTTTTACATGTACATAAAATGTGTTGAGCTCCCACCCATCAAAAAACAAAAACAAAACAAAAACAAAAACCCAATGAAAAAAACAACAACTAAAAACATCGATAAAAATTGCCCAGCGGTCAAATGTCAATGTCTTTGAGTTCATTTTTTGACGAGAGTCTCATTTCACCACGATGCCTCACAAATTAAATAGGAAATTTTTATCGTGCGACATACCTCTGTCCTGTATTCACACACTATAGGGTGGCCTTAAAAGGAACCGTCGAAGCATTTTGATAATAATAATGATAATAATATGAGAAATTGTAGTATTAGTTTATCACCCTTTGCAACGCTACAAACTTAATTTAAGAAGCGAGACTCCAAATTTGGCGTACATCTCCAATAATAATGCCAATAATAATAATGCTAATAATAATGCTGATAGTATTATGATAATAATAATAATAATAAATAATAATAATAATAATAATAATAATAATAAAAACCCTATAATAATAATAATAATAATGATGATGATGATGATGATGATGATGATGATGATGATAACAAAATAATAATAATGGTACTACTACTACTACTACTACTACTACTACTACTACTACTACTACTACTACTACTACTACTACTACTACTACTACTACTACTGCTGCTGCTACTGCTACTACTACTACTACTACTACTACTACTACTACTACTACTACTACTACTACTACTACTGCTGCTACTGCTACTGCTACTACTAAATGGCAAAATTCGTGTTAAGTGCCTTTCCCAAGGACACAACGTCGAAATAAGCTGAAGCTCGAACCCCGAACCCCCCAACCCCCGAACCCACAACCTCACGATTCCCATTCCCGTCTCCAAACCACAAAGACCACCGACGGCACGAGGCATGCCTTTGCTGTCTCCTAAATTACCTAAATAGTGTCGATGTTGGCGGAAAACATTTTCTGCAACAATTTCATTTCTTCCAGCTCTAGGTTTTGGGGATGCCGGCCGCGTCAGTTTGACCGTTGCATTGGACAGGAGCGCGTACTGCCCTGGCGAGTCGATGCTCATAGATCTCACAGCCAGCAATCAGAGTTCCAAGGACATGGGGTCCGTCAAGGTAGGAGTGTATGTGGTTGGCTCCTTTTCTTTTCTTTCTTTTGCTTATTTTTGTTGCTGTTTTGGTAAGGGTTTTACGGCGCTCGCAACCGCATAAGGTCATATGAGCGGAGCCGGCGGGGACACATTAAACATTTAATTTTTCAGTTGATAGGAAATGTTGAATTTTGATCTCGGAGGGCTCGTGTGCAAGTTGCGCCCCTGAAAGATCCCTTTGTGGTCCAAAATCGATAAAGAGTTACTAGGGCTTCGGCCGCTACCCGGGCAAATGTTAAAATTTCCTTCCAACTGAATATGTTTAATGTGTCCCGCACACCCATATAACCTTGTGCAGTTGCGAACGCCGTAAAACACACACACACACACACACAC